GCTTGAAGGTGACGTCCAGATCTTCTGCTTGAAAAGTCCACAGAGGAGCGACGACACGTTTATGGTGAGTTCAGAGGATTTTCTCTGCAGCAGAAACTCCAAACCTGAGGAGATCAAAACTTTTTCAAGAATCCATCAGATTTTTAACTTGATCTAGTTTAATATTAATGTTCTCATTGAAACATGTGAAAACACTTTCTAACACATTTATTAACAAGCCGGTCCACCTGCTGTTAACACGTCTGTAATTTAATCATGGCACGCTTTAATATTTGTGGTTTTAGTCTGTTTTCTACACAACTTTAGATCAAGTGATGTGAAGTCAAACCAAAGTGAGTTGTCTTTAGTTTGAAGTAGTTCTGAGATCAATGAGGGTTGTGTTTGTGTTTCAGAGCCAGTTGGACTGAGTGACAAGTGTCTGCATGATGAGCCGTCCACAGAGAGAAGGTGAGAACATTCATGTGGTGGAACATCAGCAGGAAGGAGAAGAAGAAGCTGCAGTCAGAGCTGAGTGGTCATCATCAGACAAACCAGCAGCAGACTGGACAAACATCTCACATCCACACTGGAAGACACACACTTCACCTGAAACTAACAGAATGAAGAAAATAAAATTTTCTAAAGGAAAAACAAATGAAGTTACTATGAGGAACTACAGACCAACTTCAGTTTTTTGTTGGTCAGTTGTTTCTAAACCCTCCTGAACTCAACATTTAACACAGAAACTGGAAGAAAATCTTTAGAACTCAAACTACAGCAAACATTTACTCATTGGTCGGGTCACAGAAGATCTGTACGACGTTATAGTTTGAGAAATGTCTTTAAATGTCTCTGTTCAGTTCTCTTCATATGGATGAGAGAAGCAACAGGAAGTGACACAATATGTCTTTACACAACACAGAAAGTGTGAAGACACACAACCAGAGACAATGTCTGGACATGTGTGAAACAACTACACTATAACTCTATTTTACATTTAAAAATCATTTGATTATTTTACAACGTCACAGGGTTGAACATAACACAAAATGAGATAAAATGACTTCTGATTGGCTGTAAGTTCACAGAACTTTACACAACTGGAGGGTCTGGATCCCCCAGACCCCCCAGGGCTTTTCAGCTTTGGATATTTGAGCAGATGTTGGTTGTATGTTCGTTGGATGCATGTTGGTTGGTTGGTCGGCTGATTAGTTGGTTTGTTGTATGTGTGTTGCTTGGTTGTACAGTATGTTTGGATGTATGTTGTGTTGGATGTCTGCTGTGTTGGATGCTGTGGGCGTGGCTCCGTGTCCTGCTCCAGTTCTTCATGTGCTTCTCCTCTAAATGCTCCTCAGGTGAAGCAGCTGAAGAAGCAAACAGGAAGTCAGCGCTGCCATCAGAGAGAGTAGTCCTGCTGGTTCTCTGTGCTCTGCTGGCTGCTGCTCTCATCATCATTCACAGACTCTGTGAGTTTATTTGGATTTGTTTTATATGTGAATATGAATGGATGAGCAAAAATCCCTGATTGTGACACACAGTGGTTAATGTTCAACCATCATGGTTTGATCTGATCTGATCTGGAGCACCTGCTGTCATTTCTTTAATCAGCTGTGAGCGCCGCCAATCAAACCATCCAAGCCCTGGAGGAGGAGAATGAAGCTCTGAGGAAAGATCTCTTGGGTGAGACTGTCAGGGTTTAGGAGTCCACAAAGTCCAAAAGTCTCACTCTGTTCTGTCAGGACACTTTACCTGGTCACCTGGCTGTATGATGGATTGAATCCAACCTTTGTCTTTAATCCTAAATGATGAAACATGTTCATTTGTTCTTTTGTGAATATTTTTATGTTGATGCTCAACGTCTGAAAGTGTAGTTGTCTCTTCATGTCCTCCACCTCCTGAAACTCAAAGTAAGTTGTGTATTTAGTGTTTGTCTCCTTTCTGTCCTGTGATGATCTTAAAG